GTCTCTGTGTCTTCCCATACTCTCTAGCCCACCCTCGATCCAGCTGTGTCCTCAATTTCCACTCAGAATCTTGGACTACACCCCACCTTGGCTGGGACATACTGCCCCCTTCTTCATGTCTGGATATTCACTTTCCAGACAGCCCCAGCCTCTCCTGTGATTAGGATCCAACAGGCAGGGTTCGATTCCCCCGCCTGTGCATCCCGCGGGGTGCTTCAGTTCTCTGCCCATCTCATTTCTCCTAACAGACCGCTTGTATGGGGGTGCCCTGTTCAATGTCCCCAGCACAGCTTTCTGTTGAGCTGGTCAAGGGTATGGCCTAGGAATGGGGTCGGAGGCCGTGTGTTGAAGAACTTCCTCTAGGTCGTTCTCCTGTGCAGTCATGAAGAAGGGCACTAACTGACAACATGTGACAGGAACGACACAGCCATTTATAGGACCTATGCCCCGGACTTCCACTTCATCTCACAACCTCTGAAGCCCCGTGATGTGTTGAAAGAAAACTCTCCGTCCATTTGCCTGGACAGGCAGGACTATGCGCTTGTCTGAGTGCTGCCCAGCCTCTCCCGTCTGTCCTGCCACAGCCAGCAGCAAGAAGAAAGCCTGTATACCTCTTGCCACTCCAGTCCCGGGAGCCTGACCTGGGACCCTGGGTACCTGGTGTTCTGATACACAAGACATCCTAAGACTGGCTGCAGACTCCAGGTAACTTGTGGAACTGGGAGGGGTATTAGAGGCCAACAGGACACTCACAGAACCTTGGAGAGATGGAAAATGTGGTTATAACTATTTCTTGTCCTTTGAGAATACCAGCTTCTTGTTGTCAAATTTCTCCTTTTAAAAGAGATTGGCAACAATCTGTATTTATGTGTGCATGTGTGAAAAATTCTAACTTTTTTTGTTTAGGTTTCAATTTTGATTTTTTGAAACAGGGTTTCTCTGTCTAGCCCTGGTTGTCTGGGAACTCATTTCGTAGACCAGGCTGGCCTCAAACTGCCTGCCTCTGCTTCCTGACTGCTGGGATTAAAGGTGTGAGCTGCCACTAGCCAGTGAAAAGTTCTAACTTCTTAAAGCTGACATTTAATTCAAACAATTCAAAACAAAGTTCAGGCTAATAACAAGCCCCTTGTCATTTCCCACAAATGTGTGCTCTGACTGCCTGCAGATTGAACTAGAAAGGGATGAGCCTCCCTTGAAGACTCTGGTCTCCGTCCTCAGAGCCTCCTCGGTGGGTTCACACAGTCCTCAGAGATTTGTGCAGCGTGTGCCAGCTGGAGGTTGTTTGTGGACATGACTACTCAGGATTAGCAGTGTCCTCTTAGACTCCTGGTCTGAGGGCCCCTGAGAGTTTTATTTGGCCTCAGTAACAGTGTGTGGGAGTCTGTAGACACCAGTACTGCGCTGTGTAGGGTCGAGCTTTGTTGGTTGGTTAGAAAGCTCCAGGGGATTTGCGGCCTCCCTCAGAGAATGCAAGCCTGTTCTGGAAGCTTGCATCTCCTTCTGGTCCCTCTGCCTTTTGTTCTCCACGTGGTCACAGCCAAGCCTGGTGAGCCTGTAATCCCTCTCCACCGAGAACACGAAGTGCCTTCTGGAAGACGATGTGCTATAAATAAATGAGCCCGACAAACAGTAAGAGCTCCAGAAAAGAAAGGATGATTAAAGAAGAGACTATGAGAATGAATCACTACTTGAATGAAGCACCTAGCACTTCACACAGAACAGGTGCTCCGGAAACGGGGTTGGGAGGGGGCAGGGAGAGGGCCAGGGGGCTGAGGGCAGGGGAGGGTCGAGGAGGCAGGGATCCGGGAGTGAAAAGCAGAGGCTTATAGATGATAGACAATAGTCCTGTCATTTCCCAGGGGCCGAGACCTCAGCCACTGTATACTCTCTTCGCCTCGGTTTCCTCAGCTATACAGATGATGTTGATAATTAATAATAATAATAATAATAGCAACAATTATTACCTGCTTCATCAGAGTTGTTGGGCGGACCGGATGTGATGGTGTAGGAAAAGTGCCTGTCCAGGGCAACCACCTGATAAGAGGCAACTGAGATTGTTTTAAAAATGAGCACATCCTGGGACATGACCTTCATTCAGTCATGTAATGACAAGGCTTGTGTCTGAGTGAGGCCCAAAATGTAACTGGAGTCTTGGTGAGAAAGCCACAGGTGTCCACGTTCCCTCCCCTGCTTGTCCCAGGGCTGGAGACCTGCTTACCAAGTCTGGGATACAGCAATGACAGCAGGGAGCTAGCTCTACTAGTGGCTGCCCCGTTCCTCTCCCAGCATGCTGAGGGGCTAAAGGTGCTTCCTGTCTGCCTATCACTCTCCTCATTTACCCTTGCCCTTGGCGTCCATCTCTTAAGGGCTCTGACAGTTTCCAGCAGGGTTCCCTGCTCCTTCCGTGAAGTCAACTTTTTACATTTTATTTGTTTAAAGATTTGTTTTATTTTTAACTCCGTGTCTGCCTGTGGATATGCGCATATTCATGCAAGTGACCGAGATATCAGAGATGTCTGATCCCCCTGGAGCTGGAGTTACAGGTGGCCGTGAGCTGCTCATTGTGGGCTCTCAGAACTAAATCCGATTTCTCTCCAAGAACAGCACGTACTCTTAACAGCTGATCTACCTCTCGAGCCCCATTTTTTATTTTTATGTATGTGTATGCATGAGTATTTGTGTGTGTTCATGTTGTATATATGCAGGTATATGTTGTGTGTGCAAACACGGAGGTCAGAGGACAACCCTGGATGTCATCCTCAGGAGTGCCATTGATCTTCCTTGAGACAGGGTCTCTCACTGAACCCGGAGTTCCCCAAACAGGTGAGGCCAGCTGACCCCTGATCCCCAGCGCTGGAATCACCAACCCACACTGTTGTGCCTTGCAGTTTTACGTGTGTCCTGAGGATTGAACTCGGGTTGTCATGCTTGAGAAGCAAACATTTCCCAGCTGCCCCGCATTCCTTCAGGGTCATCTTGAGCAGTGACTGGGTTTTCTGGCTCAATGGATGTGTCGTGTCATATGGTACCCTGGAGCGGTCCTGGGGATGATGGAGGGCAGCCTCTGAGAGTAGGACCCCAGTGGGCAGTCAAGAAGAGTCGACTCTCCATCACTGCGAGGGGACAGAACCTCACCATCTACCCTGACGAGCAGTGGCCTGTGCCACTGAGGGCCAGCCTAAGTGCCGATCATGTAGAGAGAGGGATTGTTGGGTAGGTGTTCTGCATCAGCCTGGAGCCTGCCACAAACACAGATTCTCCACCCCGTGACACCACTGAAGGGAGGCTTGGCATTCTGCGTGACAACCCTTGAGGGAGCAGATACACGGCCAGGGTAGCAGTAGGTTTCTGATAAGGCAAGGCCACCATGCACCCTGCCTGGCAGACGTGGGTGCTAAGCAATGACTTTCTGTTCGTTGTTCAGATCAGTCACCACTGTCCGTTCTGTGATCCTAATCCCATGACAAGACCCAGCTACAGGGAGAAGGGAGACATTTTCCCTGGTGTGAAAGTTGACTTGGGGGTCCTGAATGTCAGCCTTCTGATGTCCCCGCAATCTCCAAGGTCTGAGTAACTTTATTAAAGATTTAAAAAAAATATATAAATTTAAACACTTAAATGTCTGAGTGTGAAATTAAAAAAAAATTCAGGTTGAAGTCAATATTAAGTAAAAAATTGGACCCGGCTCCCTTGGGCACACGGACAGGCACATGGACACAAAATTTTCATTTTCCAAGTTGAACCAATTCCACAACTTCCAATGCTCCCTTCTGAGACTACCTCCGTCTAATTTCCTGAGGTAGGTGACCAACTTCATCTATTCTTTGACACTGGAATTAGGAGTCATTTTTAACATAGTTTACATGTTTAAATTCTCAGTCTTGGCCTATCCTGGATATCATCTAGTAATTAAAAGTGTAAATTCAAAAGCCGCAGACTTCCTTAAATGGAGAAGAAAGGGGAGCGGGAAAGTCAGCATAGAATTGCAGGGCTTCCCTTTTCTCTCTGCCCCCAGCGGAGGCTCAAGTTACAGCCCTTCAACAGAGCAACAGATCCTTGGGACTTGCTGCCTCCGGGGCCACCTGGCCCTTGTCTCCAGATCATCTCCCAAGAGGGGCTCTGGCCTGGCTGCATGGGAGAAGTTTCAGGCCACCAGGGGCTGCTGTTGCATGAGCCGCACCCTGTTGTAGGTGCTGGGGCACTGGCTGGTGGGTCTAGCCGCTAAGTCCTCCTGCCCTGTAGCCGCTGGTGCACCTCTGGCTGCCGGAGGACGTATTTATTCCACTCACGTGTTGCTACCCATCCACACACCCTGAGCGCTGGCATTAGCCTTGGGCAGGGCTCCCAGAAGGCATCAAGAGGACGCAATGGATGAATTCCAAGTAACTGCTCAGTAGAAGAAGCCGTAAGGCTTCCCTCTCTTCAGTCAGCACCCTTCCCCTCCGCTTCAGCTCACATCTGAGGGTCTTATATGGGCCAGGACATTTATACCCATTGTAAAGGCCGGAGCATCCTGATTGCCTCAGGACTCAGGGCTCTGTTCACCAACTTTGTCCAAGACCAAAGTGAGGTTCAGAGCTGGCAATGTGACAGTTCTAAGGTCGCACAGCAAGAAGCATGGTGGGGCCCCAGTCCAGGCAGGACTCTTATTTCAGTGCTGATTCCACAATCGGAGCCCTTGAACTCCATCTTCTCTGCCCTGAATAACTTTCCTCCCTGAAGCCCAGCAATAACCAAGAGGCAGAAGGCTAGGAACTGGCCCCGTAAGAAAACAAAGCACAGACACCAGCGTGTCTCTGCTCCCTCTGCTCCCACAATCCAGGGTTTTAGGGAATGTGATCGCTGCGTGTGTTTATGTAATACCTAGAGGGCTCCTTAATATAATTATTTGAATGGCTTTGTCGAAATCCAGTTTACTTAGTATAAAGTAAGACTAGACCTTACTTTGAATTATGATTTATTTTATACATTTAAAAACAAATTCACATTTAGAAATAACATCGAGTGGGGGTAAAATAATCTTTTGGGCGGAATCATTTGGGTTGATTTATCGCCAAGAACTGGCTTGATTGCGGGGTCTGCTGAGGCCAGTAGGCCCCACCCCCATCAGGCAGTGGACAAGACCAGCTGCCGCTCCCGCCCACAAGACAACTTTCTTCTTCAGGTAAATCTCAGTTTGGTTCCTAGCACCTGCTAACAGATCGACCAGGATAATCCTTTGATTAAACCGACCAATTATAAGTGGTAATTACATCCACAAAACCCCTTTCCAGTCAAACCTGATGATTACAGAAAAGCTGGGAACTGCAAGGAAACCCGGCTGATCGGTCAGATTAACCAGGGCACAGGGGAAACTGTCAGCTTCGGAGTATACTGTGATGTGCAAGGGGCTCAGGAGGCAGCCTCCTGGAGGCTGAGGCTGAACCTAGGGGCGGGCAGTGCGGTGCTGAGGAAGGCTTTAGGATGGGCCTGGCCAAAGGCACAGTAGCAGCCTGCGTTTGCTTCACAGCTTCTTGATACAATAACTTAATCCTGTGCAATTCCCCAAACAGCCTGGTGTCAGTCTGTAGATTAAAAAACAGGTGCCATTGCTTTATCAGCTCCTGGATGGCTACCGAGAAGCTGGGGGGGGGGAGTAGCTCAGTGGTAGAGCGTGTACTTAGCACACGCGAGACCCTGAATTCAATCCCCAGCACATAAACAAACACATGATTTTGCTGCATGTGTCCTGTTCTACACACTGGTGGTTGGGAGGGTCTGGCGGGGTAGCAGCAACGGCTCTACTGCATTGTTTCCAGAGCTGGGCCTGGGGCTGAAAATTCTATGGAGATTAGTTTGCTTCCCCTGTTTACTCTAAGCCTGTAAGCGACCACATTGTCGCTGTGACTCCATTTTACAGAAAAGGACCACTCAGGAGCACATTTGCCTGTGGGCCTGTGAGATGGCTTAGCTAGTAAAACTGTTTACACACAAGCCTCCTCCACGTTGCCTGCTAGCTTTTGTCTTGCTTAGAATACTTCTCTAGGGCTGAGGGTGTGGTAGTGAAGACACTTAGTGCACCAGGGGCCCTGGGATCAAGCCCCATCACTGAAAAACAAAACAAAACAAAATTACTTTCCCAGACACAAAATGCTCCCTCCCTCTGCCCCTGGGGAAGCTTGTGTGAGACCCTAAAGCAGCTGGCACTGAGTGGGCAGACCTCCAGCTTCACCCTGCCAAGTGTCAGGCTGCGAGGAAGGCTGCAGTTAGATGGTTTCCTTCTAAGATCCAGACCGACCACCTCTGAGCCTAGAGGAACCTCAGTTTCATTATCCGAAAACGTGGACTGTGGCCCTTATCCTTGCCAGGGAGGTTGGGAGCTTGCTCATAGGCCCAGAAGGGCCCCAGAACTATTGAACTGACCCCTCCTAAGACCCATGTTGGCAGGGAAATGGCGGTTGGGGCTGGGTTACACCCAGCAAAGCTTCAGAGCTAGCTGTGCTGAGAGCTAAAAATAGCCATCACGTCTTACAGGGACACCAGGCTGGCCTGGAGATAGATGGGAGTGGGGAAGCTGGAGTGGGGACACTCACCACCAGGGCTCCCCACCTGCAGGGGATGTGTGTGTAGGGGGACCCCATCTTCAGCTCTGCGGAACTGGCCACAGGCCACATGGGGAGGGGAGGGCTTGTTCCTTTGGGCTAAGGCGATGGAAAGAGTCCTCTAGTTTGGTTGGGTGTCAAGCTCACATGGACTACGGATGTGTTTCTAGGTTTCCTAGAAATCCAATCTACCCAGAATGTTGAAATCGCTTTAGCCTGCCAGCCACATAAAACATCAATGAGCTAAGCGACATCCTCTCTTTGCTGCGAAGTCCGTGTTGTAGGTTCGGCACTTCTCAACTGGGTGCAGGCAAAATTCAAGGGCTGAGTTCACTTCCTCTGGCTGCTGGAACACATTGCCACAAATGCGTTGGTTCGAAGCCAAGCTCGCCTCCAGACCCGGAGGTTGGAAGCCTGCAGTGACATTTGCAGTCGCTCCCTAGGGAATGGTGTCCCTTGTGCTGCACGCAGACTTGGGGCCTCTTCCTCCACATCAAGGTGCATCCACCTAACTGAAGTTTCTGTTGTCACCTCTTCCTGTTTCTGTCATTATTTCTTATCGTCTCTGCCTTGGGTGCCTCTGATTCTTTTTATAATCTCCTTAGTGATGACCTTGGACCCCTGGGTAGTCCATGATACTCCCTCAAAAAAGTTGTTTAACTTAACTGCCTCTGCAAACCCCATTTTGCCAGTTAAGATAACACATTCCCGTGCCCAGGTCTGAGCACATGGAGGGCTGTCTTCAGCCCGCCTTACTGCTCTGCGCCCACATGTCGTGACCACCATACTGGGCAGGGTAGCTCCGGGGGCAAAGGTGAGAGTGTGACCTGTCAGAACTAACTATGGGCCCTAGGGCAAGATACTTCATATGCAGACAAGACTGACTACACTTGCCTTCCTGTGAAACTGATAAGCTGTGAACATTAGGGTGCTATCAGCAGAAGTTAAAGTGATTACTGTCTGCAACAGGAACTATCCTGGCAGGGGTGTGTGTGTGTATGTGTACCTGTGTCTATGTGTATACGTGTGTGTATGTATGTGTGTATACCAGTATATGTGTGTGTACATGTATGTGTACCTGTGTATGTGTGTGCACATGCATGTGTGTACCTGTGCATGTGTGTACACGTATGTACGTGTGTGTGTGATATGTGTAGTAGGAGATCTGAGTTCTGGCAATGTGTGGTGGGTGATCAGTAGACATCACAGGACATAACAGCCTCATTTAACAGATGGGGGAACTAAGGCATAGCGAAAACAGGCTTCTGATAAGGTTGGCACTCAAGGTCTGTGTCTACTATCACCCGCCTGGCCAGAGGGCAGAGCCCAGAGACAGCGACAGATTGCTTTAACCTACACAGAAAGAAACGGCACGCCACATGCTCCGAGGGCCTTGGTTGGGAGCGCACTTATCACCCCCACATTACAAGGTGTGTCTGGGGCACTGACTTCCCAGGACGGTGGCAGCAGGGAGGAGCTCATGTCTCAGGGGGTTCCATCGCACCGCTAGGCTGGGCTCTTCTACAGACATGGAGTTGTGCGTGGGTTGAGAGTATACAGAGAGATCAGTTTTGTGTACAAGGGACTCTCCCACACAGAGTGACACCAGAAGGCTCCTGGGCTTTCCAGTAAGGCCTAAGCCCACAGTGGCTTGGCCTTTTTAGAGGAGATGCTTCCCTGAGTGGCCCCTCAGCACCTCCAGGTTCTTCTAAAACCTCTGCAAAGGGACCTGCCTGGGAAGATGGTTCAGTTGGTGCCCAAGTGCCTGTTGCCCAAATGTGAGGATCTGAGTTCAGTCTCCAGTGACCACATAAAAAGCCAGGAGTACTAGTGTTTGCTTGAAATCCTGACATTGCAGAGGGACAAACAGGTGGATTCCCAGGGCCTGTTGCAAGCCTGCCTTGCAAATCTGTGAGCTCTGGGTCATAGTGAGAGACCCGGTCTCCAAAAACAAGGTGATACCACCTGAGGAACAACACTCAAGACTGACCTCCGGCCTCCACACATGCGTTCCCCTACAAGCACCTTTACATACATGTACATGTATGTGTGCACACACATACACACACACGAGGGGGGGAGAGAGAGAGAGAGAAAGAGAGAGAGACAGACAGAGAGACAGATAGACAAGAGGGGGGCACCTCTGCTAACTCTGCAAGAGTACAGTCCCTGTTGCTGGGGGAATGGATCCAGCTATTCCATTGGCCTGCAGGCCATAGGCAGGGTGGGAAAATGGTTCAGCTGACCTCCTCCCCGCCCATCAGAGAGGAGAAGCTACTAACTTGATAGGTGGCCTGGCCTAGCGGCTGTCCCACTATAAACTTCGCTATTGCTCTCTGGTGGGATCTGGCCAGTTTTGTTAGCACTGCATCTCTTGGACTTTGCCAGGAGAAAAAGGCTTTGAGATGGCTGGGGCTTGAGGAAAGGCCCCAGCAGAATGCCCGTGGCCCAGGTGACTGTCTTATCCAGCCCCCTCTGCTGTGCTCCATAAATCTCATGTGTGCCACATGTATGCACTCTGCTTAACCACATACATGTGTGTGTGCGTGCAGGCCCCAGATGTGGAGGCAAATGGAATCCAGCTCCTGGCACAGGGTCCTTGGGAGATCCCACACAAGAAGCCTCCCCCAAAGTCAGAGTGCTGCAAATGGCGGGCACCTCTACTGCAGAGGGAACCTGAGGGGCTGGCTGGCAGCTGCTCCAGGGGGCTTGCCCCTTCCCATTTGCCTCCATACCACTTGCCTCAGTCCCCGGGAGGGTACCACAGTGAGCAGTGAGCCCCTGACTGCTGGCTGAGATCTGCCTATTGCCTGTTTGCCCCTGAGAAATGATCTGACCTTTCCGAGTTTGTTTCTCCATCTATAAAATACTGTTTTTAAAACACAAGAAAACTCACTAAACTCTTCCAAGCAGCGCTCTCTAGTCTCTGGGATCATGATGACTTTTCTTCCTGACCAGGGCTACTTTTCCAGCTTTTCTCTAAGTGTTTCTCACCTACGTAGAACCTCCAGGTTAAAGGCATGAATCACGGGCGTTCCCACTTCAATAATTTTCTGTGGGTCACCTGTGGACATGACAATGTGGCCTCTGAGCAAATGTTGTCAGGGCCACTGCTTGCTTCCCGGGCCACTGTGGGTTTGGCATTGTCCTGCAGAGTTGTCCCTCAGGCTTGGTGAAGAACCTGTCACCTTCTCAGGACTGATGGAGATGCAACCTTGTCGTAGTTAGAGGTGTCACTGGAAGAAAACCTGCTGGAAGGGAGGGGAGCTGGACACCAAAAATGGGGCTTGAATTGCCAGCCCCTGCCATGGTTCTTTGGCCTTAGCGTCCCCATCTGTAAATGGGCACAAGCTTGGGTACCACAGTGGGGGTCGTGAGGATCCGGTGAAGCAGGATTTACCAGCAGCTTGCTTCCCTGACCCCTGAGTCTCCTGGAAGAGATAAGCACAGGATTCTCTGGAAGATAAATGATCTGTTTACGCCATTATCTCATCCTCTGCTAACAGGCCAAGGGCCCTGCAGGTGCGCCACTGCTCAGCATTTGGTGATTGTGTTCTGGCCAGCTGGCCTGTCTGTGTTCTGCCTGACCCAGCCTTTCTGCCTTCCCCTTCGGCCGTTGGTCACTCAACCCCTGCTTGCAGCCAAGACGCGTCCTATCCCTCCAAGGCTGTCCTCTCCTCCACACCCAGATCTTCCCGATTTTAATGTGGTTCAGGCTGGTTTAAAGCTCACGTCGGCGAGGCCCTCCCTGATTTGTCCAGCGGAACCCGTGCTTTCCCCATCACCCTAATTTAGTGATCATGCTCTGCTGAAAACTAGGAGATTCAGGAGAGTGGGCTGCATGTCTCACTGTTTCTCTGGCAGGGCTGGGCGTGGGTGCTACCCACAGCTGCCCAGGAGCAGAAATTGTCCCCAGCACTTCATGGAACCAGGTAGGGAACACACACCGACAATCTCAGCACTTGGGGGCTGCTGGCAGGAGAAGTAGGAATTCAACACTATCCTTGACTATAGAGTGAGTTTGAAACCCGTGAGGGCTACCGGAGACTTTTGAGAGGGAGCGGTGTGTGGGGGGGGGGGCAGGAAGAAGGGAGGGAAGGAATGCCGAGGACACTTTCCGGCAGGAAGATGCATGGATGGAGGAACAGCGGTCCCCAGGAGTGTAGCAGTCTCACGTTGGCTGGACGCTCTGTGAGCAGCAGTGGAGATGCCGTGTCTTGGACACCTGCCCCTGATTTGCATGGCAAGATCTTTACATGACCTGGGTGTGCTCCTGTCTGTTGGGAACCTGGGCTGCAAGGTTAGGAGAGTGGGGAGCTGGAAGGATATGAGGATCCTGGGTATTTCTCCAGAGTCCTTTGTGAATGTAGCCTCACCAGGGACAGGAAGCTTATTATTTGTTTCGTCTGTAACAACATCAAAGGTCTTCGAATCCAACCAGCAAGCCTTTCCTGGTACAGCTTCCGGATTTATCTGTTAACATAGGAACCCAGCCCCGGGCAGGACAAACTCACACTAGCTTCTGACCCTTCTGCCTGTGGTCCTAGATCTGAGTCTGGACAAAGAGACTGGACATGTTTCCAGTTTCCACTGGCCTACAGAGACCTTCCCAGTAGGAGTGCTCCTCTGCTTAGGCCCCACAGCCTTGGCTCAACATCCATGCCTCAGGCTTTTAAGGTGGTCTCAACATTCAGGACCTGCTGGCATGCTGGTCTGCTTGTGTGCCGGTCTCCTGGTGTGCCGGTCTCCTGGTGTGCTGGTCTCCTGGTGTGCCTGTCTCCTGGTGTGCCTGCCTCCTGGTGTGCCTGCCTCCTGGTGTGCCAGCCTGCTGGTGTGCCTGTCTCCTGCCGTTACGTAGTCTGTGTGAAGAGAGCACTTTTGCCTTCCCTACTCCGTCTCTGCAGGCACAGCTCCAGGTCCCCTGCTCTCCCCGTAGCCACAACCAAGCCGCTGTGGGACTCCGGTCACACCAGCTGCAGCCCATCCTTGTCTTGCACTGGGGGCTCCAAGGGCAGGGCCTGGAGGCCTATTCAGCTAAGTCCCCTAGTCTGAGTTGGTTCTCCTCAGGAGACTTGCCCCATCCCTAAGCACTGGTGTCCACAATGCACTTGAGGAACATTGTGTCATCTTTTACGTAGGCGTGCTTGGGCGACTGCAGCTTACTGAGGGGGAAGAAGAGCGGACAGCCACTGGCCACGTTGGTCTCACTCTGCGGCCGCTGGAAGGAGGCCGAGCTCAGGTCAGGCCTGAAGGCATCAATGGCGTGTTCACGGTTGTTCTGGTCGAGTAGCATGAATGTGACCTGTGGGGTAGGGATAGGTGGAGGGTTCAAAACTGGGGGGTTAGCATTGGTTCTCATGGGAGCCCAGTTGTTTGGGCTCAGATGGCTTCATGCCCACTGCGTGGGCTTTACCTCTGACCATGGAGAGGAGGTACCATGTTCTACATAGAGAGGAAGCAGAGGTGAAAAAGAGGTGACGTCTGCACTAGGGAGAGGCCCATGGGGTGAAAGGAACATCTGGTATTATGGCAGCTTCAGGTTTTGTCCTTCACTGTCTCACCCAATGGGAATTCTTTCTCTCTCTCTCTCTCTCTCTCTCTCCCTNTTTCTCTCTCTCTCTCTCTCTCTCTCTCTCTCTCTCTCTCTCTCTCTGCAAATCACAGGTCACATTCAGGTATCTTTCTCTATTGCTCTCCTTATTATTATTATTATTATTATTATTATTATTATTCAGACTTGGAGATCACTGGTGAAGCTCTGCTGGCTGGATGGCAAGCCCCAGAGGTCCTCACAACTCCTCCTTCCCAGTACAGGGATGGCAGGTACTCACACCTGGTTTTTGGTGTGGGTTCTGAGAATTGGATTCACCATTTCCCTAGGAGTTCTACTACTATAATTAAACGGCTGCAGAGACTAGGGTGCCCTGACAAGGATGCAGGGCACATGGTGATGTGTCAACTTCTGTTGGGACCTGTGCTGCCAGGCAGGAAGGAAGAGCAGACTGGGGGCGGGACTTTCACTGAGCTCTGGTGTACCCAGGGCAGATCCTGAACGCCCCTGAGAAGCAGGTGTCCTAAGCATGATACAAGCTCTGCCCTGGTAGGAGCCCTTAAATGTACCCAGGGAACACACTGCTTCTCCTTGCTAAAGCTGCCCTTAAACTTGCTGGCACTAGAATTCCTGGGAGGGCTGATCCTCCAGAGAGTTCTATTCCAGACGCTGAAGCTCTACTCAGTGGGCAGAAGCCTTGGCCACCGGATTTGCACTCAGCTTCATTTTATAAAAGGAAATTGATACAGTAAGCACAGGAGACTTGCCCAGACCTCAGGTGCATCGCTAGTCACCATGCCCTCCCCAAACCCATCTTCTCCTGTCCCGTACCTTGTTCCGGAATGGCCAGGGCAGTAGGGCATCATACTCTCCTCTCATGATGACAATGAACAGGGACAGGTGGGTCTTCTTGCCTGAGCCATCCCCATTCAGGTATAATCGCAGACACAGCTTGTAACCATACTTGGCTGTGTAGAAAGCTGAAAAGTGGAGGCAGGGTCAGCACAGGTGAGGAGATGAGGTGCAGCAGGCAGGGGGCTGAGGACAGTGGGGTTTGTGGCCCGGCTCTCTTCTCTAGGAGAGTGTCAAGGAAGGCCATGCTCTTGGAGGCTGCCTAGCCCAGAGGTTGGCAGCTGGCCTTCTGGTCACAGAGAGGGCTCCCACTCGATGGTTCTGGCTTGGTGGGTAATCTGGCATCTGTGGTTTACCACTTCCCTGTGGTGCCATGCTGCTTGTCTTACAGCTACATGTGGAATCCACCATCTTAAACAACCCTCAAGTCACTAGAGATTGAGCCCAGAAAGGGAGGTGGGTGGGTGTTGTTTTATGTGCTGGAGCAGAATTAGGGTTAAGGTCCAGCCAGGCTTCCCAGATCTTGGCACTGGTTTTCTCGACTGCCCAAAGGTTGGGTCCTCCCTGGAGGCTGCTGTGAGAAGTCCCTTTTTGGTTCTGCTATCAACCCTTGGGAATGGCCCCAAGAGCCATGCCCGGTGACCAAGCATGGGGGCCCTCGTGGCTCTCTCTCCCTGATGGTACATCCTTGGGCACAGGTCTGTACCCAGCTCTAAGCATACCCCCTGCTGGGGACCCCGCCTCCTTGCTTCAGGTGATTTGCTATAAAATGAGGCTGGGAAGGCAAGTACTTGGTAAGGCTCTCAGATGTCACATCCAGGAATGGCCTGGTCCTGGCAGATGGTATGGCTTAAACAGATCCAGAGCTGCATGTAAATATTATATGTATGCTATCTGTATGTTAATACACACACACACGCACACACACACACACGTATGTGCACGTGCACGTGTGTATTTACCAGTTAGTGAATTGTCAGTCAAGTCAGTGCTCTGTCAAGTCCAGCAAGGGACCCGAAACAGGGAAGTATCACCCAATCCGCTGATGCCCGGGGTCTCCCCAGGCACACAGCTCCCCAGGGCCTGGCTGGGTCCTCTGCCTCCTACTCACTATGGCTGGCTGGGCAGTGACACCGGCTGTTGAATTTTGGCTCCTATCCCCCTTCTCATCCCATAGCCTCTTTGCAGAGTGCAATTGATATACAGGAAGGAGAGAGGGCAGCTGCTGTGTTCAGAGAGCACAGTCTGTGTCTCCCCCATCACTGGCAGGGACTCCAGTCTGACTTAGCATGGCTGTTCTCACATCTTGTCCCCCAGACCCGCTGGGTACTGTCTCTCCTACCAGTCTCTGTGCCCACAGGGAGTTACCTGGAGAGAAGAGGCTGATAGTCCTGCCGCACACTGACTCATGACACCGTCTGGTGACATTTGTGATCTTCCACAGGAAAGTGCCATCGAAGGAGGCCTCCTCCATGAGCCGCAGGCTCTGCTCTAGCTTGCCCAGGACCTGATCCTTTTGGGCCAGGGTCTGTTGTAACTCCACCACCTGCAGGGAAAGCTGGTCAGCCAGAGAACCAGCATCCAGCTTGGGGGACTGGAGGGGGATAGTGGGACTAGGGATATATCAACCCAGAGAGGTTTCCCTGGCCAAGTGTTACCTAGTGCTTGCACCTGTCCCATGCTTGGCATCCCTTTCTCTTCTTGTCCTCCAGGCCAGCTCCTATCATTCAGCAGGAGCCCAGCTCACAGAGTCCCTCCGGTAAAGCCTCCAGTCACGGTCCTAGTTGGTGAGTCTCTCTCACCGTGTTACACGACTCTTACAATGACTTCCTCCTCCTGTTCAGGCTGCCTCCACATGGCTGGCTCCTGTCTTTCTATGTCCACACCTTGCATAGTGCTAAGCTCCGAGAGTGGAGCCAGAAGGCTGATGGAGCGATGGGAACCCTCGCTGCCTCTGGAAACCTACTTTACAGCAGGCGTGAGGAGCTGCCTGGCCATTGGAGCCCAGTGCCTTCCCCTGCTAATGGGTTTCCACAGAGACATGTGAAAGGATGAACTTAGCTGGGAGATGGAAGGAGAATGGCTTGGATCTAACTGGTCGAGTGTGGTAGGGGTGGAACTAAAGTCATGCCCAGCTAAGTGGGACACAGTGAAACAATGTTGCTGTTTTTTTAAAAAAGCGACATGAGTCTGGTGACTGACTCCAGTAGGAGTAGTGTGATCCCTGGAATGGAGGAGGTGGGCTGAGAACTACAGGCTGGTCAGTCTGTAGAAACTGAGGCAGCATAGGAGAATATCCTGGCATCCCATGCTCTGAAGAGCTGATGAGAACACGAAGGAAATCGTCTGTTAGGATGTGAGCACTGACTGCTCTGGAGAGCAGGGGTGGGGACAAGCAAGCCGGTTGCTCTGTGGGCCCCGAAGGTCACAACCAGGACCAGTACTGGGAAAACAGCTCTACGAAAGGAGGGGCTGTGTAACAGTGGAACTGCCCAGCAATGGAACGGAGGAGAGAGCCGGGGGAGGAGTGTTCCCGGCCGATTCTAAATAGAAGCACCGGACAGCATGGCATTGGCTTTTCCCCAAGCTTTGGACTAGGGTCTTCCTAATAGGTCCTGGGATAGAGGGGATATTTGGGTTAGGTAGGAGCAACAGCTTTGGGCAGGATGAATGACGGGAAGGCTGGAGGGCATAGGGGCACCCTGAGCTGACGTCAAGAGCGCTTGCTCATCTCACTCACCCTCTGCTCCAAGCTCAGGATGTGCTCTTGGTCCAGCTGGCTCTGGTGGATGGAGGCGGCCAGTGCTAGGTGGGAAGCCTCCACCTCCTTGTTGAGGACAGCCACGATGTTTTCAAACACACGCAGTTTCTCCTCCAGCTGAGCCAACTGCTTCTCTTTCAGGAGGTGCCACAGGGCCTGCTCATCCTGGCTCTCACAGCAAGGTGCCCGGTAGCAGTCTACCTCCAGGTCCCCAGTCACTTCCACGGCTGCCTGAAGCTGCAGCTCTGACAGGTTCCGCTCCAGGGCCATGGGCGTGGAGCCCAGGTTGGAGCCTGACAAGGACTTCCACTCTTTTAGGACCCCCAGCAGCAGGTGCAGGTGGGAAGCCTGGGAGGTGGCCTCATGCTCCTGCATGGATTGTGGGCTCCCCTGAGGAGAGAGGGAGAGTTGCAAATGAACAATGGAAGGAGACCCTGGGGACCAGCAAGGAGACAAGGAAGGCATCAAAGGCCACCAAGCAGAGCCAGAACCTTCTCCCAGCAGAGGGGCAGTGGCTGTCTGTATGGGGAGGGGCAGGGGTGAAGCCCCTAGATACCCCCACACAGCTAACACCCAGGTCTCTAGTGTGACCGTTCTGCCCTGCCCTTGAGCTGAGTGATTCAGGACCATGGAGAGAGGTGTGGGGACATGCTCTTGAGTGATGCTCCAGGGCTTAGGTGAGGCATTAAGGAAAACTTCCCTTAGAACAATGACTTAAGAGTTGGATTTGTTGCTTGGCAACTCATTAGCATGAAACACCAGAGGAGTAGCTTGGAGTTTTGGGAGGGGGGATGGGGCTGGGACCATGTACAGATATGACATGCAGTCACTTACCTTGAAGGAACAGCCAACACCTGCAAAGGGACACAGGACTCCAGCCTCAGACACCTCAGGGTGAACCTGGAAATGATAACTGTGTCACTGGATGCTGGGAAGCACACCGGGGGCCACCCCAAAGACTCACTTAAAGTGACAGGAGCCAACAAAGCCAGAACTGGCTAGGCTCGTGACTCTTCTCGCTCTGTTCCTTCTGCCTGGCCAACTTTGCTCCACCTTTGGAGTCTCGCCCTTCTGTAATTGTTCTACAGAAAGAGGACCGGGCCCTGCTGTCATTTGAAACACCTCATTCCATCCTGTTGGGAGAGAGTGAGCACAGCTCCGGAGTGAGCCCCCACTCTCCAGTTTCAGGATGCTGAAGAGATACTTCACAAAAAGAGCTCCATGAAGGGAGAGCGCGCCTGCCACTGTATTGGAAGAGTGATGCTCCTACGTGTCAGGAGAGCTGGACTAGCATGGTAAGGCCATCCCAGCAAGGACATGGGCAACGAAAGCAAAATAGTAATAGACACACTGGAAAACTTACCGAAGTAATTAATTTTATTATTATTATCATCATTATTGTTATTATTATTATTATTATTTATCAAGGGTCTCACTATGTTGCCGTGGCTGCCTGGAACTTGCTATCTAGAACAGGCTAGCCCCAAACTCACAGAAATCTTCTTGTCTCTGTCTCCCAAGCACTGGGACTAAAGGCATGCGCCATTACACCCAGGCAGCCTTGAAGTTCTGATTCTCCCGCCTTCATTCCTGAGTGCTGAGTATAAACATATGTCACAAATATTGGCTCATGAGATACAGGGGACTGGGCCCAGGCCTTGTGTGCACACATCTCTGTGCAGACATGAGTTTCTGCTTCTCCTGAATGCATCCTGGGAGTGGAATATGTGGGCTATCTGCAGGTTGATTGTAAATTGTGAGTGATTTAGGTAAGCAGGGCTCAGCTTTCTGTAAAACACTTTCATAGGGCTGGGAATGTGGCCCACTTGGTGGTACATACTCCAGGACATCCTTCTGAAGAAAGTTTAGGGGAGGCAACATGGTCCCGAGAGGCAACTGCTGCCTGTCACCAGTTTGGAGTGGGTTGTGTGGGTAGGAAATGACCAGCTCTGTGGGGCAGGATATTTGCCATCTCTGTAGTGGGGAGTCACCTGATTTTGTACGTTAACCAGGACTTTAGCAAACTGTACACCTAATAGGAGCACTTTTTTTTTTTTACCTGTAAATGATATCTTCATTTTATGAGAACTTTTTTTTTTTTTTTTGTCAGAATAATCAAGGGGTTTAGGATGAAAGAAAAGGAGGGGAGGCTTTAGGGCCCAGCAGAAACTCAGTCACAAGGCTCGTTTTTCTCAGAGCTCATTCACACAGTTGGTTTGGGATGCAGAGCCTGGCCTATCAAAGGATCTCCCTCTTGTCCCACTGCCCTCTGTGACAGGGCAGACTGTCCCAACCAAGAACAGGAAACAGATGTTTGGTGCCGACAGGCAAAGGGGGTCCCAGCAGGGAGATAACCTGGCTGTGGGAATAGGCCTCAATACAGCCTCTCCAACAGGTCACTAGTGATGACATGGGGCTCCAGGGCATCAGATGCCAGGTATTTCTGACCTAGGACCCTCTTGGTCAGATTCCATGCCTATGGTTCCCATCCTTTGTGGCTTGAAGTCAATAGTCCCCAGCGGGACAAGGACCAGAAAGTGGGACAGCTAACACTGGAATTCGGGCATTGCTCACACAGAGAGATGTACCCTTGGATAAGCAGGGCCTGTGGGCAGGACAGCCTGCTGTAGGCTGTGTGAATGTCTGGCTTGTCCTAATGATGAGACATGCAGAGGAGCGTACTGACTGGCACTGAACGCTGAAAGATGGGCAGGGGTAACTCAAGAGGTCTTCTGAAGCCCTAGGGTTAGTCAGGCTGCCAGCTCTGGTCACACATCACCCACTCCTTACCATGTGTAGGGATAAGTCCCACCCCTTAGGGGGCGTGTTCGCCTCAGGCTAAAGTTTGCCTATAAATTTGGCGAGCTTGCTCTCAGCCCTCGCTTCTGCTTTCCTGGTCTCCGCGGGAATGGTGGTTCTGTAAGTCTATTCCTCCATTAAAGCTGCCTATATTTTGACAATCTGTCTGCATTCGCTTACGCCGTTACATTTTGGCGTCCAACGTTGGGTTATTTTGCCCCTGACTCAAGCGCGTAGCCTGCTAGCTAACACAGCACGCTCCTGGGTGTCGTTTTCTTAGTTCGTGACTTGGGCCCCAGTGCTGAGTCCGAGATACACTCGGTTTTCAGGCCCATAATATCCAGAGAGGCAGGCGGATCTTTGGGAGTTAGAGGCCGGCCAGGCTGTGGTGGCGCATG